TATATATATATATATAGAGAGAGAGAGAGAGAGAGAGAGATCCAAGTGTGGTGGTACACCCTTTTGGTCCCATCACTTGGGGAAGCAGAGGCAGGCAGATCTCAGTGAGTTGGAGGTCAGCCTGGTCTATGATTTCCAGGCCAGCCAAGGCTACTTAGTATGACTGTGTCTCAAAAACTAAAATAAAAATGAATAAATAATAAAATAAAAACCTAGGGCTGGCAAGATGCCTCCGTGGGCGAAAGTGCTTGCTGCCGAGCCTGGTGACCTGAGTTCACTCCTAGGACCCACACAGTAGGAGAGAACTCTCGGTCAGGCTGTTCCCTGGCCTCCACACACATCCTTGGCATGTGTGTTCACACACACACACACACACACACACACACACACACACACACACGCCATCAGTGAGGCCATTTCCATTTTGCTATTGGCCCCTTGGTTTTCTTCTTTTGAGTCTGCAGCCCTTTGGTTCTGCTCATTGGACTAGCTCCAAGTTCACACATGAACCACTGACCAGAGAAAACAAATCGTCTTCCCGAGGTAACGGCAGCCAGCCACAGTCAGGTTGAGTGCTCATTCTCAACGTGCAGTGGCTGCAGCTGAGAACAGACGTGGTCTCAGGGCTTCTTCGTCCCTTAAACAGACTCCCACCCGGCTGACTTAAACTTGGTTTCCCCGCCTGGTTTCTTCCCACAGAATAAGATCCAGCGAATTGAGAACTTGGCATGCATCACCTCTCTGCGGTATGTGGCACCAAAACAGCAAAGGAGTAAGGAGTGGGTGGTGAGAAACTGGCTGCGCCCCTAGAACTGTCTTGGGGCTCTCTAAGCCTGGCTCTTTGTCAGATGAGAAGTCTAGCTCTGCCCTCCTCACCCCACAGGCTTTGTGTCCCCACTTAGCCAGCTGCCTACACAGGGGAGCCTGGGGACCCGGTGCCCTCCTCCCTCTCCTCCCCCTCCTCCCTCCTCCCTCCTCCCTCCTCCAGCAGTCCTGTGTCTTATCTCATCCCTCCCTCTTCCCCGGCAGCTTCCTGTCTCTGGCAGGAAACCAAATCAGGCAGGTGGAAAACCTCCTTGACCTCCAGTACCTCCAGTTTCTGGACCTTTCTGACAACCTGATAGACGTGCTAAAGCTAGGTAGGAACACCGTGCCCTGGCTCACGCAGTGGGTCCCATGTGGTGTCCTCCCTCCTCTTGGCTCCAAGCTCCTTGTGATCTTGCTTCTCCCCCCCCCCCCCCGCCCCCTGGGGCAGGGGCGGAGGGAGGGCAGAGCAAGCACAGCACGAGACCCTCACTCATTCTTTCTACGGCACAGATGAGCTCCCCCAGAGCCTTCTCATCCTCAACCTGTGTGGAAACGCCTGCACCAACCAAAATGGCTACAGGTGAGGAGGGGAGGAAGTCACTCTCTGCCTGCAACCCTGATTGGTTCATCCATCGTGCCCTCTGCCCCCTAGACTGAGTCTGTCCCAGTCCCACATCCAGCACCTCACAGGAGCCAGCCTTTTGCTCTTTGGCCTGACCTCAGGCCCATCTCCTAGTCTCGGAGTCATACCCACCCAGGTATGGGCACTGAAGCCTATGCCACCGTATCCTCCCAGGTTCCACATCAGGGATGCCCTCAGGGGTAACCTCTGTTGCCCTGCCTTACAGGAAGATGGTGATAGGGGCCCTGCCGCTGCTCTTGGACCTAGACAAGCAGCCTATATTGGAGCGCTGGACCTCAGAGGATGACGATGATGAGGAATCCTTGGATGAGGAGGAGGAATTTCCGGAGCTGAAGGGCCCGTTCTGCACAGAGCGAAGTGATTACTGTCCACACCTTATAGCTTGCCCCGGCTCGCACTGCCCTAGGAGACGGGGATGACACTGTCACTGTCCTAGGCAGCTAGCTCTGCTGGGACCTTCTCTCCGGCTCTGTGGTCTCCTCCACTCCAGGCCCTTCATGTTTCCAGAGTGCCAGCCAGGACGGTGGAAGGTGACATCTTCCCAGCCTGGCTCGGTCCCTGGGGTTACATGATCACTTTCCATCAGCCTCAGGGCCACCTGCCACTCCTGACAGAGTGAGTGTCCATGACCCACCTCAGTCTGGAATCAGCAGGATCTAATGAGAGGATGCGGGGGACCCATCTCTTCCCAGCCCCAGCCCAATATGTATTCTACTAGGGATGCCAATAGGTTTACCAGAGACATCCCTGGTCCCAGGCCCTCCTGCCAAGCCCAGGGCTCTCCCTCTCCTCCCCCAGGATTCTTCAAGGACCTGGACCAGGAACTGCAGCAGCATCAAGAGCGAAGGCAGCAGGCGGTCCTGGCAGAGCACTTGTCCAGGATGGAGATCCGGCCTGTCCTCACTGACCTGCCCCAGCTGCCTGCAGTGCCCATGGCTGGGGACTGCAGCCCTGATGTCGCCGCGCAGCCTGGGAAAGAGGCGGCCCCTCAGGCCACCTCCTCCACCCAGACCTCCTCTTCTACCAAGAAACCAGTTCCCAAGAGCCAGAAAAGCTCTGTCCCGGCAAGGAAGGGAGCTCCAGCAGCCACAGCCTCCAAGATCTCTCCGGCGGCAGCCCCCAGCATGACAAAAACTACAGCCAAAAGGAACACGAAGTAATGCACAGCCCCTCACTTGGGGCAGGGGCCCCACCCCCCAATAAAATATCTTTGGGCTTTGGAATTCTTTTCTTTTTTTCTCTCTCTTTTTTTTTTAAAAGATTTATTTATTTATTTATTATGTATAGTGTTCTGCTTGCATATGTCCCTGTAGGCCAGAAGAGGGCACCAGATCTCATTATAGGTGGTTGTGAGCCACCATGTGGTTCCTGGGAATTGAACTCAGGACCTCTGGAAGAACAGTCAGTGCTCTTAACCTCTGAGCCATCTCTCCAGCCCTGGAATGCTTTTCATGTCCCATGGGGTAAGTCCAGGAAAGAAACCAAAACCAGAAGTCAAAAACACAATCCCCCAAAGCAGCTTAACTTTTCAGGAATGGCCCAAAGGGCTGGCATCTCTCTGAGTCCCCAGCTGGCTTGCTGGGCCTCAGCAACAAGTGGGGGACCACCTCACAAAGGATGCTGTCTCATGGTGAGATAGCTCCACCGTGTTATTGTTTTGGTTTCTTTTGTTTGTTGTTTTGTTTTGTTTTTGAGACAGGGTTTCTCTGTGTAGTTTTGGTGCCTGCCCTGGATCTCATTCTGTAGACCAGACTAGCCTCACAGAGATCTGCCTGGCTCTGCCTTCCAAGTGCTGGGATTAAAGGTGTGCGCCAGCCACCACCGCTTGGCTTATTGTTTTGTTTTTAAGATAGTGATCTGCTGTGTAATCCTGGCTGTCCTGGAACTCACTATTTAGACCAGGCTAGCCCGGGACTCACAGAAATCCACTTGCCTCTGCCTTCTGAGTAATTGGATCAAAGACATGCCACCATTCAGTCAAGCTAAGGACTAAACCTTGGGATCCTGATTGTCCCCAGATGGCAGCCAGCTCTCATGAGGCATGATCTTGGGTCTTCATGCAAAGACACATGAGTTAGGTCCCACTGCACCCATCATTAGGGTTTATGGCTTGGCACCACAGCTCTGGCAAACAGCCTGCTGGGAGCTGCCCTTTGCCCTGGCTCGGCTCTCCCCAAAAGACCTGAGATCCAGTTCACTGAATAAGGAAATAAAACATTTATTAAGCCAAAGGCTGTACCAGCCATCCAGGCCCTGGATGAGCAGAGTGAAGGGATGCCTGTATCCACCACCACCACGACCACCACAGCTCACGGCAGCCGCCCAGAGCTCCTGCACCCAGTGGGCATAGAGGTGCTACATGCTTAAGCGTAGGCCTGGTGCTCCTTCTCCACAAAGGCCTGGAAGAGGCTGCCCAGCCCCTGGGGAGGGAGGGTCTGGTCACCAGTAAGGAGTCCTCGGAGAACCTCCAGGCCTTCCTGCTCCAGGCTCTGCTGCTTCTGCCGGATCTGTTTCCTCTGATCCTGCCAGGCAAGGCAGAGGCGAGGAATGTGGACCCTCTCCTCCAGGCAGGAGAAACCCAAGACTAGCTGAGGGCCCCGCCTGCCTCCAGCTCTGCAGTCTCCTCTAGCCCCAGGCCCTGGAATATCAAGAAGGTAAAGGTATTTCCTACCTGCTTATCCTCCATCAGCTCCAGGGCTGCCTGGTGTCCACGATAGAGTAAGTGTCGACGATCCACCCGAGTCTGGAATCGGGGGAGGATCCGAACAGGGTCCTGGGCTCCAAAAGTGGGAGACAGCACCTGGGGGGCCTGGGCCACCCCGACTTCAAAGATGAAGGGCTTGAATACCGACCTGACGAGACAGGTTGAAGTAGTAGCGGGGCACAGGTGCGGCCATGTCCCCCGGCCAGTACGTCCTCTTCGCCCTCACCTGGACGGGTCTGGCGTAGCAGTGAGGAAGTGGACACAGGGCTTTGTGGGGTCCTGGGGCAGGACCGACACCATGCTGGCCGTGGTGCGGAAGCCCCCGGAGTCCATGCAGATGCCGCTCTCCCTGTTCCTGAGGATGCCCATCATCCCCTCTGCCGTGATACTTCCTGCAAAGGAAGAAGTGGCGGGGACCCAGCAGACGAGAGCGCGAGAGAGACCCCAGGCCAGGGTGCCGTGGCCGCCCTCTCGCCCACCACTCACACACCTTGCTGTTGCTGCAGCAGCTCACACCCAGCCCGGAAGCGGGCCTTGGCAGCTTCCATCCGCACAGGCTGCTGGGCCAAGGAGAAGACCTCTGCAAAGTTAAAGGGGCCCTGTCCGGTCCACCACCCCTGGGCCTTGGCGTGGCTTCGGAGCTCGGGGTGCTCCGCTGAGATGTCGGCGCCGATACTCAGCTGGTTAGAAATGTTCCGGGCACCCCCTGCGGGAGAAGAGGAACTTACTCCTCTATCACGGAGCACCCACTATATGCCAGGCCCTGGGTGAGGAGCTTAGATTACGGTTTTAAAAAACTCAACCTGCCCTGAAGGGGCCTCCGGTGAGGAGGAGACAGACAAACCAATCAGAGCTATGTCATAGGGACGAACAGGATGGGAAAGTGGCAGTCGCTCGCATATGACCTCCCAGGAAGGCTTTCCAGAGGAAAGGGCAGGCAGAAGCAGGGGAGCATCTGGCCAGGGGAAGGAGGAAGTTCCTAAGTGGGTTCATTTCCAGTTTTCTGGGGTGTCCCAATGCCCAAGGCTGTCGGGGGAACAAAAGTGGGAGCCTCCAGAAGTGGAGGGCAGTACCTGGGGACGTCTAGGTTCCCTCTCGGAGGCAGGCTCCACACTAGACTCCTACCCTGGATCCGCTGAGCAGCCCACAGCCTCCCAGCTGTCTCCAGCACCCAGGCCTCTGTGCGGTCAGCCAGTAGGAAGGTGTTGTGATAGCAGAACGGCACAGGATCCTCCCGGCAGCTGCCCCCCTGCCCGTAGCGTTCCAGCAAGCCTGCGATCACGTGCACAGCCTCCTGGGCAGTGCCGCTCCGTTCCAGAGCCAGCCTAGCAGAGAGGTCAGAGGACAGAAGTGATCCAGACAGGTTTGACGAAAGCCCATGTTACACAGCGAACCCAGCAGCAATGATGGTGTGCGGCCCAGACCTGTGAGCCCAACAGAGGTGGAGGCAGGAGGATCAGAAGTTCAACTCCACACTCAGCTACATACTACAAGATTCCTTATCTCAAAACAGAGAAACTTTCCAAGGCAAAATGAAAAACCAGCCAGATGTGGTGGTAAACACCTTTAACCCCAGCACTTGGGAGGCAGAGACAGGTGGATTTCTCTGAGTTCAAGGACAGCCTGGTCTACATAGTGAATTCTAGGCCAATCAGGGATACACAATGAGAAGCTGTCTCAAAACACAAAACAAAACAACAAGCAAGGAAAAAAAAAAAAAAAAAGCCATACACCAGTAGTTTCCAAGCTTTGAACTGAGAGTTCCATGGAAAGGTCTGGAACACTGTTTCCAAGGAAGAAGTGCCTGAATTTCTTCTCAGTCAGAGCTGCCCCACCTCTGTTAGTTTCTATAAACCAGAATTCTATGGGAGATTTCAGTTAACAAAAATAGTACTGAAAAAAAAAATTAAACCGCTCTGGGCCAAAGGAGGCTCTTTATCAGGCTTAGTGGCCCACGACTTTAATCCCAGCACTTAGGAAGCAGAGGCAGAGGGATCCTTTGAGTTCAAGGCCAGACTGGTCTACAAAGTTCCAGGACAGCCAGGGCTACACACAGAAACCCTGTCTTGACAAATCAAAGAAGGAGGAGGAGGAGGAGAAGGAGAAGGAGAACGAGAAGGAGGAGAAGGAGGAGGAGGAGGAGGAGAAGGAGAAGGAGAAGGAGAAGGAGAAGGAGAAGACAGAAGGTAAACAGCAGCCTTCTTAGAGAGGCCACAGGACAAGGCCAAGAGAGAGGCAAGGCCAATGAACCTGAGTGTTAGGGGCGGGGGGGGGGGGCATGAAGAGCGGGCCTGTACCTGAGTAGATCCATACCCAGGAGGGCTTCCCCCTCGCCAACAGGCTCTTTGGTCCACACTGCTTCATTGCCAATGCAGACACCATGTTCATTGGCTCCCATCTCAGCCCCCCACAGCCAGGAAGGGCGGCTCAGAATCACAGCATGTGTCTTCCACACCTGTTCCACCTCGATGTAGGTGCACTGGAGGTAAAGAAGAGAAAAGAAGAATTCACGGGGGAAAAAAAAGATCCAGAACCTGCATTGCTCTGGCACTTTGTCAGCCACTTTATATAATGGCCTTAAGAAAGGGCTTGTTCTCAGGTCACGCATGCGTAAACTGAGTTAGCAGAGGCTAACGAGACTCAAGGTCCAGGTGGACTTGAAGTCCTTAGTCTTTTCACAGCATCTGCCAAGATCCGAGGTGTAAGAAAACGAAGGTCTGGGAACAATGTCTAGACCTTCCTATTCCTTTTAAGTCCTAACCCACCTGGAGCCGGCTCCCAGGGGTGTGAGTGCCTGCTGGAATAAACACCACCTCCTGCACCTCATCTCGGGGGCGGTCCGAGTTCTTTGCAAAGATCACAGCCGGGATGGCTGAAGCCGGGGGCACAGAGACAAAGCAGTCGCAGGAACAAGGGGTATCCGGGCTCGAGGAGGCCATCTGCGAAGAGGTGGGGATGATCAGGTCCCTCCAGTGACGCCTCTCCACAATCCTGGCCACCTGTGGGGCCTAGGACGCTCCCTCCCACGTGTGCACTCAGAGAAGACAGAGTCCATGCCAGACACTCCGGGACAACGGCACCGGGCGCACACTCAGAGCGCGGTATGCACTAAACGTGCACTTGGCTTAAGAGTCAGCAGACAAGCCAGAGCGTCCGCCGTGGAGTCTCAGCCCTTCCAGGCTGTAAGGTAGTTTCCAGGCACTAACGCCGGCTCCAAGAATCCCGCGCTTCTGCGCATGTCCACATTCGCGCTCCCCTTCCGTCCAACCACTTCCAAGTCCTCAGTACCTCCACCTCTCACCCTCTCTGCCTCCAAGACCCTCAGACTCGGTTCTGGGCCCCACCTCCTCTGTTTCAGGCCAGATCTCTTCCTCTGGACCCAGATTCCCAGGTGACCTGGAAGGCCTTTGTCCCCGGGGGCGGGGCCGGAACTGAACACCTGCAATCCCACCGTTTCCCACCAGAGTGCGCGCTAGCTAGCACTACTTCTCGGAACCAAGTAGCTGGCCTTCCAAACCCTGCCTGGGTGTCCTGGACTTCCAGTTCAGGCATATCGAAGAGAGTCACTTTAGGAGGTGGAGCTGAAGGAGACAAGAAGCCTGTGTGAAAATAGAGTGTTCATAAAATAGCCAACGCTGCTGGGGGTTCTGGAGATTAAGGAAGAACTTTAGTGGCCTGAATCCCGACTAGAATTACAAAGACTCAGTCCTAGGGAAACTGCACAGCACAACACAGGAGGCATAGGGATAGCTGAGGTTAAGTACTGTTTATTTTAAAAATTATTTTCAGGGGCTAGAGAGATAGCTCAGCGCTGAAGGGCACTGGCTGCTCTTGCAGAGGATCTGGGTTTGATTCCCAGCACCCACACAGTGGCTCATAGCCATCTGTAATTCCGCTTCCGGGGAATCTAATGCCTTCTGGCCTCCACGGACAACAGGCACATGTGTGGTGCACAGACACACACACTGGCAAAACATCCATACACATAAATTAAAATTTTAAATTTTGTAATTGTGTGTGTGTGTGTGTGTGTGTGCGCGCGCGCGTGTGCGCATGTGCGCGCGCCTACATGTACAGGAGGGTAAATGCCTGAGGAAGCCAGAAGAGAGTGTTCCATCCCTTGAAGCTGGAATTACAGGTGGTTGTGAGCCACCTGGCAGGAGTTGTGAAAACCACACTCAGGTCTTCTACAAGATCAGTATTCACTTTTTTTTGTTGTTGTTGTTGTTGAGATGGTTTCTCTGTGCAACAGCCCTAGCTGTCCTGGAACTCGCTCTGTAGACCAGACTGGCCTTGAACTCACAGAGATCCACCTGCCTCTGCCTCCCGAGTGCTGGGATTAAAGGCGTGCGCCACCACCGCCGCCCGGCCAGTATTCACTCTTCACTGCTGAACCTTCTCTCCTTTCATTTTCAGTCTTAGCTGTCATATCTTAGGGGCAGTCCACCTTGGTGGTGTTGTCTTTTAATATATTTTATAATGTGACTTTGAGAGATGATTTGTGTGTATCCACGTGTGCAAGTGCACATGTATGTGCATGCCAGTGCAGACTAGAGGTCAACACTGGGTGTTTCTCTCAGTGGCTCTCCATCTTATTTTTTGAGACAGGACCTCTCATTAAACCTTAATCTTGTTGATTCTGCTCCACCGTCTGGCCGGCAAGCCCAGGGAGTCTCCTGGTTCCACCTTCGCGGGGCTGGGATCGGAAGTGCCTGTGCTTCTGGGGACAGAACTCAGGCCTTCATGTTCATATGGCAGTCACCTTACTGTTTGAACCCTTGTCTCCCTTGCCCCCAAGTCCCCCCATGTCACGAGGAGACACACACCAAGCCTCCTGTCTCCAGAAACCCAAGTTCTCTGCTGCCCCATATGTGCTTAAGGTTATAGAAAGATAACTTTGAAAGGAAAGTTAGAAATTTCTATTCCAAATCCTTCTACGTGCTAAGAAAATGAGATAGCAAAGGAGAAATTTGGGCTAAGAGGGACGTACAGTGGTGTGGAGCTAGATTCTGAACTCAAATGTTTTGGGTTTTCAGTTCCTTTTTCCTCTATGAATCATCTCTGTAGGCAGCTCTGAAGAAAATACATCTCATACATTTATGCTCCTATGACCTCTGGGAGTTACTTCTAGGGGTTACATACCTCAACAACCTTAATTCTTGCAATACAAAAAACACAGAAGTGTGTGTGTGTGTGTGTGTGTGTGTGTGTGTGTGTGTGTGTGCATTCTTTAATTTCTTTAATCAATTTTTCATATCTGGGGCTGGGAATGGAGCTCAGGTGATAGAGCATTTGCCTTAGCATGTAAGTTTATGCAGTCCTAGGCATTGCATAAACTGGGTGTGGTGGAGAACACCTGCAATTCCAGGAGGCAGGAGGATCAGAAGTTCATGGGTATCCTTGGTTACAGAGGGAGTTCAATGCCATCCTGGGCAGAAGCCTCTGAGTCAAAACAAATTTGTCTTTCAGTGTACAGATTTTCCCTCTTTGATTCCTTTGTACTTTTGTTGTTGTTGTTGTTGTTTGTGTGGGTAAAAGGCATTGTTTTCTGATTTCCTTTTTTGAATATTTTGGTGGTAGTATATAGAAATCTCTCCCACTTTGGTCTTTCTTGTCTTTTTTTTTTTAAAAGATTTATTTATTTATTTTATGTATATGAGTGCTCTATCTGCATGTACACCTTTATTCCAGAAGAGGGTATCAAATCCCATTATGGATGGTTGTGTACCACCGTGTGGTTACTGGGAATCAAACTCAGGGCCTCTGAAAGAGCAGCCAGTGCTTTTAACCTCTGAGCCATCTCTCTAGCCTCCCACCCCTCCCACCACACACACACAAGGTTTCTCTGTGTAGTCCTGGCGCTCCTGAACTCACTCTGTAGACCAGGCTGGCCTAGAACTAGGAGATCCACCTGCCTCTGGCTCCTGAGTGTTGAGATTAAAAGGTGTGCACCACCAACCACTGCACTAGAAATATCTCTCAAGAGCTGGAGAGACAGCTCATTGGTTAAGAGAACTTGCTGCTCTTGCAAAGAGAACCAAAGTTGGTTCCTAGCACCTAGACCAGGTAGTTCACATCAGTCTCCAGGGGATCCAACGCCCTCTTCTGGCCTCAGTGGGTACCTGCAGTCAAGTGCACACTAGACACATAATTACTAAATAAAAATAAAACTTTAGAAAAATAAAACAAACAATATAGCTAAGTAACTTAAATTATCCTCATGGCTCCTGGCTTCCTGTTCTGCCTCACTAGGATTATATCTTTGGAATTCAAACCAGGATGCAGCTGAGGTTTTTTCAAATCTTCAGATACCACAATCATCTGTAGCTCCAGTCAGTTCCAGGGATCTGACGCCTTCTTCTAGTCTCAAAGGGCACTGCATTCATGTGGTGTATACACATATACACAGACAAAACATCGTACACATTAAATTGTTGTTGTTATTATTATTAAGACAGGGTTTCTCTTTATAGCTGTCCTGGGACTCACTTTGTAGATCAGGCTGGCCTTGAACTCACAGAGATCCGCCTGGCCAAATGCTAGGATTAAAAGCCACATTAAAAAAAAAATTTTTTAAAGAAATCATTTCTTTTTGTTGTCTGTTGACTGATTTCTTTGACTTTATTATTTGATTAGTCTGACAGTTCTTTGGCTTTGTTCCTAAGATAATTTTTAAATTTACATTTCTGGTAATACCCATAAGGCAGCAAAGGATTCTTGGGGATATAAAAGCTGCTTCGGTGCGTCTTGGAGGAGGGGTACGAGGTTGCCATGGGACATGGGGCCACCTCAAACCTCAAGGCTGTACCTGCCCGCAGCATTCTAGGCGCCCCACGGGAAAAGCGGGTTCCTCTTCCGCACTTCCCCAGATGTCCGCTGGGGGGCGGGACAGGCCGAAGGAGAAGGAGGCAGCCGGAAGAGCAGGAAGAGGTGGAGGCTGCGTTCCGAGCCTGCCTGCTGTCACGTTTCCACTTTTGACTTCATTCACCTGCCCTAGAGGTATTCAGCTTCACTTCTCCGCTGAGAAGACTCAGAGAGGTCGTACAGAGGGTCAGTCCAGGCGGGATGATTTTCCTCCCTCTCGGCCTCTCCATTACAATCCTGCTCGGGCGCCACTTCTGAGAGGTCATAGGTGACCCTGGGTTCCTTCGGGGGACCCAGGCCAGCCAGGCAGCATTGCAGAGGATCAAGCATGCATCAGAGCCCCACCAAAGGCCCCTGCTAAGAATGCAGGTCAGCTGGAGGAGTTGCAGGAGAAGGAGGCAGGCAGGGCCCTGGCCCTGCCCAGACAAGCCAAGCCGGCCCTACAGCTGCCCTCCTGTCCCTGGAGGCAGTTATGGAGAGGAAGGACTCACCAGGTTTCTGGGGTCTAATTCCCCCCAGAACCAGGAAGACAAAAGAGGTACCCCGCAGGAGTGCCTCAGGCAGGAAGCCACAGGTAAACAAAGGCTCTGTGCTGTTAAATCCAGTAACAGATGGAAACAGGTGCGCTGTGCCCCCCAACCACAGACCCTAAATCATCCCCATGCCCCCTTCCAATGTTCCCTTAAACATGGAAACCCCAAAATCTCTCAGACATTTGATAGGATGGGCCAATCTGAGAACCAGATGTGGCTGGAGAAATGTTAGGGGTTGTAATTAGGGCTAAGAATCGAATGAGAAGAAAACAATACATTTGCAGGGGAAAAAAAAAAATGAGTAAAAAATTGGGACGGTGAAAGGACATCGTGACCAACCTTGTCCTTCAGAGACAGGAAACAAAACAAAAGCTGACCCCCCTATCACCTCCATAAGGCTTTCACTCACTTGACACGAATTAGGTGCCAACTATGGGTGGGCATTTCTGGTCTCTCTGAAGCCAGTGAGTCCCGTGAGGGTGCGTCTCTGCACACGGCAGCTGTTGCGTAACCCTGGCAGGATTCTCGCTTTGAGTAGTAGAAGCAACCTTTCCCTCAGCCTTTCCAGCTGGGCAGGCGCCCATCAGATACCATGGCTGCCTTTCATCGCCTTGTCTCTGATAGGGATCATCCTGGGTGAAGAAATCGCCGTCAGTCACCCCCATCTCACTCCCAGCCAGAGGGACCGGCTGACATGCATGCTCCCATGGGGGTGGGGAGAGAGAGCCAAGTGGCCAGCCGGGGGAAGGGATCTCAGGGGAGGAGATCTCAGGGGAGGGAGGACATCTTATGAGGTGAATACCAGAGGCTATTGATTCGGGAGCAGCCTTTTTCTCCTTAGCCCCTTCAAGATAGGATCAGATCCAAGCTCTGACCCAACCAACTGAATAGAGGTGATGCTTGCCCGAGGATCCCCCTACCCAGTCACTGTGGAGGGACAGAGTCAAAAAGAGGATGCTGAGCTGGACGACAAATGAAGCAAGAATGTGGTTGGTTGGTTGATGACTTTATTGTTGCATAAAAAAACACACAGGCTGTTCTG